GAGTAATTGAACTGCCGTCAGAGAGAGACGTATTGTTGAAGTCGAGCTCGTGAGACGTGAATTATAGTTTGTTATAGCGCGATTGTTGAAGTTGAGTGTATCGTAAAGTTGTATTCGGAAATAATAAACCAGTTTTATTTAAGAAAGGACTTGTGTCGCTAAAGTTTCGTCGAAACGAAGTTACGGAAAATTAATTAACAAACGGAAACGTAAAAATACCATGCACATTGAGGAAACAGAACAAAATGGAAAAGAAGTCACACTAGTCAACTGGATGACTTGCAGAAAGAGGGTAGAAGCACAAAGGTGGAGTGAGTTAAAGGGACAGATGCTACAATTGTGCGTTATTTCTAGAAGGAATTTGAGATTATTGGAGGGAAGAGGCCAGTGCCAATAGCAATGCCGAACTCCTTGAGAGTATAATAGCAGTAAATGTCATAGAATTAAAATAACCTTATTTACATTAGGTTCCTATTATTGTAATAAAAACTTTTGGAAAATAATGCGTAATACTTAACAATAATAAAATAAAAATGGTTGCCTCCCTATGGTCAGTGTTTTGGAATTAGGGACGGTACAACGCTACGTTCCTTGAACGTACACTGGCAAATATGTCGTCAGGGGATGGTGACCTGTACTTTGATCAATGTGAAACATTTTTGGCGTGTAAATAAATAAATAAATTAGACTTATACAGACTATACGATACTTCTGGAACGAGTTCATTTTGAAATATTATTGGAAATCGCATCATTCAGATATTGATGCTGAATTTATATATGTTATTGATTTCGTTCCATTCTACTTGGCTGCTATTGTTTTCATGCCCATAATTGTTGGTTTTAGAATTATTTGTAAATTCTATTTAATATTTATGCCTGAAACTTTAAAACCGTTAAAATAGTTAAAACTGTGAGAATTCAATTTAAAGTAATATTTCTTCTATAAATATTTTTAATTAGCATATTTTGGCATCTAATGGAACCACAACAATGTAATTTTATCATTTTGAAAAGTATATTATTAAAATTAAAATCAAACAATTTAATACTGACATCTGTCAGGAAATACAAAAGGTAAACGAACAGCTGAGTGTGATGCGTCATTCAAGAAAAGCGTTGAAATGGGTCGTGGTTGTATAGTCACGGTCGTACTAGTTTAATAATGCTCAACAAAAGATATGCCTTTTCAGAGTTGTGAAATAAGGAAGGAGGCAATATTCAACGAATGAGATTATATTTTTAATTAGAATATTTAAATATAGAAATTTGAGTGACTTGAAAACGAGGAACAAGGATTTCTTTCTGTGGAGTTGTGAAAGACATAGTAACTTAACCTGAGCCTGAGGCGAAATACGAAATTGTGTTACTGGTGGGTATTACTTCTAGATCTACTACTAATGCTATTAGTAATAGTAATACTTGGTAGCCTAAACAAAAGCAGGAAAACTAAAAACAAAAGCTAAACTAAAATTAAATTGTTTGGCTAAGCTCTATTCTTTGTGAAAAATGTAAAACCATTTCCAGTAACTTTGTTTAATATTTAAACAATAAACCCATATTTTTTAAAATAACAATTTAGTACTAGTGGTGTAAATGCTATACTATAGTTTCTGCATTACGTATGATATAACCTAGCTTAAAATTTGGTTTTTAGATCATAACCAAAATTTATAAAAGCAAGATGGTAGCCAAAATTTGAATATAGTATAATCGTTTTAAGTAAGGTAAAATACTGTAGTACGATACTGAGTATTGATTATTATTAAATTAACACTAACAACAACAGAGTATTACTATTAATAGTAACAGACAATAGTATGGGTCGAAAAGATAGAAAATTTATGTTTTGCCATATATATATATATAAATATATATACACCAGTATTAGGTTGCTAGACAATAGTTGGATACTTGGTGTGTGGGCATAAGCTCCAAAATGGAGCATAAAATGTATGAGACGTATGTTCTATAAAAAGTGATAGACATTATAAATGTACACCTATGTACATAGAATGTCTGGAATAATATCACAGTAAAGGGGTAGTTGCAGATTTTAGGAAATTATTATTCATTTGAGGAGTTATGGGAAATATCTGAAGGTGATTTATTTCAATGTTTTTGCCTCTCTTTGTGGTCATTGACTAGATAGGCAAGTATCAAGTGATGGATAATGGATGGAGTTGAAGAAATTCATAAATTTTTCAATTACTGTTACAGGATTTCACTTATGGATTTTAAAAAGGCAATATTAAATTTCAGTCTAAAGCAATGCATGAGTATTTGTATATATATATGACAAGCTACACTGGCCAACAAGTCATTTTTGTCAGATATAATTCTAGATGGGCTAGATAGCTCTTGGAACGCTTTGTGACAAATTTGTGTTTGGTTCCCCTCTAGCACGTCAAGTTTTTGTGATGAGATTGATCAAATTTGAAAGGCTATTGCCTTATTAATTATAATTTAAGTGTTTGTACATTTTTTTTTCATAAGTGTGTACTGCATAAATTTAATCAAGTGTATGGTGTGTATAACGTTTATGGGAATGATACTGAAAAATGAATAAAGCTGTAATGTTAACTAGTCTGATGTATGATTATTACCTAAATTGTGCTTAAATTAATATCAATCATATATTGATAACTAAATGTGCTAGAAGAAAACAGATTTTAAATCAGTGTGCAAAACTGGTTTAGAAAAGTGTGCTTAGATCTTTGATGAAAGAAAAGAGTTCAATTTTATCAACCAGTATTATATTACGAAAGAATGGCAATATTACTAGTCATATTCACAACCATACCATCTACTTTGTCTAGGCCTTATTAGTAAAAGCAATTATAGTATAGTAATATTGTAGTGTAATTTGTGAAAAATGTAAAACTATAATCGACTGACTTGAGAAATGCTCTAAGACAAATGCTCTTTTCCTACAAGTTTTGAATATGTTTTATTCATTACGAACATTATAAACATATAATATATTGTAGAAGTAAAATTTCCTTTTTATTTATTTATTTTTTGTTAAAAGACCATTTAGCAATCTCAAAACTGATATAATTTTGACTACACACACACACAATATAGAGTATTTTAAAATGTCCAATTGGAGAGAAATGCAGAGTATAATGAATACATGTTTTGTTCTCTAGCTGTTTGACAAACATTATGGTTGAACTGCTATATTGTGAAAATATTGTGTTGCTTCTCCAGATGGAGGCCATTCTTGATTATGTATGTATGTACTGTTGCTTGGGGCATATGGAAGGCTTTGGTCATTGACTTTAGTTTTCATTGATTTTCATCTGTTTCAAGAAACCACAGTTTGCTTACCATGGCTTGGGTATGACTTGGCACAGGTTTCTTTTTGGATGGTCGTGGTGTCCAAACGTCATCCACATTTGTTTCTTATCATTGCAGTTAAGAACAAGCAAGGGATATCTTTGATCAAAACACATCTTCATGACTTGTGTATGATTTTTTTATATCAGAAAGGGGTGTTACATACCCTACCCAAAAGCAAACAATTTTCAGTGGACACACACTATCTACAAATGTCAGTGTCAAGAGCTAGTTCTGATATATGCCATTTCACCATGATTTTACATTGGCTGAGGTTGTCATATGACTAACTGATTTGCATATTCAAAGTAATTTTATATCAAACTATATATCATTATAAATATAGTTTCAGTTGTCTTGCATAAGTAAGTGTTCACTGTCACACATTATATGTAGGTGTGCTTCTACCAAAAATTTATTAGAATGACATTATGTAAATATTCATTAGGTTTTTTACTACAACATAGTTAAAAAGCTATAACCAACACTGACAAAAAGAGTAGTGGATTGATAGCTGGCAACTCCACTGTAACAGTTGCTCATCATTGTTACAATAATATGTGAAGAATTTAATGTCAGTATTAAGAAAATTAATAATGAACAGCTAATAGACTCTCTTCTAGATTTCAGTATATGGTTACACCATTCAGACATGAATGATATGAGTGTCTTGACACTTTGTAACTATGTTTTCTTGTGCTTCCGTGAAATATTTGAAGACTTCCCTAGGTTTGTTAGCTTCTCCTTTCCAATATTATAGTTGAACTGGTCCAATGAGTATTTAATGATTTTAGTGTGAAACTTTGGACAAGGTTTTTCACACATTATAAACTTCACTAGGTTTGTTAGCTTCTCCTTTCCAATATTATAGTTGAACTGGTCCAATAACTATGTGAATTGTAGAGTGAATTTCAAGAAATATTGATAACTAGCCAAAAGAGGTAATTATCTCTATACAAATCACTTCTTAGGCTTCGCTTGGAAAGTTGTGTACAGTTTTGTTCTCTTCAACTATGAAAGAATATTGAATTATTGGAAAAAGTTCGAAGGAGGATTATGGAACAAGTTGCTGTAAGCAGTAATTTAGGCCAGCATGTTACAAGACTGTAAGAGGAGAATAAATGATTTCCTGAAAAATAAAGAATGGTCTTAAATATTTATTTTTCTCAAGGGTGAGTTTAGAAAGAGCCAAGGACAGCTTTGAAGAATTAAGTGGTCTATTGCTATAACATATAATTAGTCAAAATGGTTGGAGGATTATGGAACAGTGACAGAGTCTGTTGTTAATTCTATTACCATCTTGCTGCCTTTATATTGAAAGTTTCTGAATAGCAAGTTACAGTAATGACAATTAGAGGCATTGTATAAATCAGAATAACCAATATTGTAAGATTCATCCATTTGTGAATTTATTGTAAGATTTTTTTTTATTTATTGAGAGTTTTTAAGTTTATTTATAAAACTATACATAATGTAGACAACTATAAATTTTTTTGACGTAAATTATGGGTCAAAATAAGTATTGTGCAAACTGCTACCCAAAAATTAATACATTGGTTTATAAAATTAAAACATATACCACAGTTCTGAGTTTAACAAAGAGGAAATGTGTAAAAACAGCTTCTTCTCATAAATTCTACAGCAGTCATAAAATGTAGTGCATGCACGCACACCTCTTTTCTCGAAGTAGCAAAATTAAAGAGGATATTGATACCACTCAAAACAGGTGATGTTATTTTTGTTTTACATTATCATTATCTTTCATTATAAAATGAAATGTGCAAAGAATGTTAATTGTTGACATTCTCTTCATCACAATCTGCTAGTAACAGCTTGAGTTCCAGTGTTGTGGAGTACGAGTACCATATTATATACATACTACATTACATGTAAAAACCAGATGATGTTGATTTATAAGTTAAGTAACGGGTTAACTCTCGAGCTTCACTTGTTTTCAGTCCCCTTGATAATCAGACTTTTGAATATGAAGACTACATTTATCATTCATTGGTATTACTTAGTAAAGGACTTGAAATAATTTAGTGGGTCAGTTACATACACTCTCATAAGCTAGTGGTTTTTGGTAGTCAAATTCAAAAGTTATAGAAATGTATTTCAGGATTATGTATTTTCACTGTAATTATAAACTCAATCAGCCCTTACACTTGTATGGTTTCATGTAAAGGGATGTTCATCTGTAAGGACTCCCCATTTTGGTTTACTTTTGTGGACTTGCAGGATATAATATAACTGTATACAATATCAAAGTTTTCATCATGAACGATTTAAAAAGGTACAGTTTTTCAAAAGTAATTCTTTTCCAATCCAACCTGGAAATTTAGTTGCTTGCTGTGTGATGTTATTGCAGAGAGGCTGAATTAGCTGGTGAGCATTCATTCATCTATTTGATCATAGTTCATAGTTATAAAGTGATTATCATGGCCTTATATAGTGAGTATATAGATGTTACATGATTATGTTACATTAAGTAATATTACACTTAGATATCGTGAAACAAAGGAAAATTTTGATATGTTTATGGCAGAAGGTGCAAAGTACTTCTGTGTTCAAAAGTTAATTACCATGTAATATTTTATGAAAGGCAATAGCACTCTCTTGTGACTTTTTTTTTGTATGAGATCTAACATAAGTTCATCAGAAAGATTAGGTTAATATTATTCATTACATATCTTTATTTTTGTGAGTTATGTAGTTAGGAGATAATGCATCAGCAACTAAAATCACATTTTTTGTAATTCTTTAAAACATGCTATGGGGGGTATGGTGGGAAGGTAATAATTATTAATCTTGAATAAGTATTTCTATAAGCTTCATTTATATTGATTTATGGTTTGTATCACTTGTTACCACATATTAGCAAACATTTGATAATATTTGTTTAATATAACAATACTTAAATAAATTGTAATTTTTTTTCTGTTAAAGCATCAGTTGATTAGACCATGAAAGCACTGAAGTTATGTTTGTGTGTGTGTGTGTGTGTATATATATAGTGATAACTTTGTGTGC